AATTATTTGTTATTTGTTCTCCTTCTCTTTCATATTTAGTATGATATTATATTTCCCTTCAATACTTAATTAAATTAGATTTTAATGTGTTTTATTTGAGTGGAGAGTTTATATATATATATATATATATATATATATATATCATCGAATAAGAATATGGTGGTGTATAACCCCACCTTCCCTAAATTAAACCCTTTTAAAAGACTATACTAAATGTTATATTATCTTTAATTTAAGATTAAGGAAGTTCACAATCTCATTCAAAAGGTGAAATAATTAAATAGCTAAATAATTAAACTCAAAAAGTTAACCATGTTTGTATTAAAAAAAATTATAATGTTAATACTTCTTTAAAACCTTTAGATATATCGTGTTTGAATTAAGTTTGACAGATCCTAGCTTCAGTTAAAATATTTATGAAAGAAGTTCATTAAAAATGATTGAACTTTAGCGTTTATAGAAGAAGTTTGCGGAAATCACTTAACTTCATTTAACGAATGAGTTTGTCTCAACCTATGCCTAAAATCTCGAAAACACATTTATACTATATTAAGATTTTATTATTCCCCTGAACTTATTTTATTAATAATTTTCTACTCCTTTTCGACCTACGTGACACTATCTTGTGGGCCAAACGCTGGTTGACTTTTTTTTTTCAAACTAGTGCCACGTAGACCAAAAAGGGGCAGAAAATTACTTTTAAAATAAGTCAGAGGGTAATAGGACCTTAGTATAGTATAAGTGTGTCTCTGATATTTCAAGCATAGATTGAGAGGATACTTGTGTATCTTCCCATAAAAAAAAACTTTAAACATTATGAATTATATTATTTCAAATACCTAAATAGACTTTAATATATTTTACGCGCAATCGATATGACTTAAATAATAATCTCAAAGATTAGGTCATCATCTATGCAGTTTATCCTCATATTGGTGGTCCTTAATTAGCAAGTTAAACTTTATTTTAATGAGTCTAGTACAAGTTCTAACATGCTAAAATTATACTAAAATAATAATGGTTGTTCAAAGTTAGGCATAAGTACAGCAGAATAATATCAAGATTCAACAACTATTATTATCTCTAGAAACTCCTAAAACAGGTAAAGAAGTCATAATAGTTAATTAAGCAAAAAGTGTACATGAATATTTAATTTCACTTTTTTTCATAATCATGAGATTAAATTTAGATTATATGTGTTAATAGTGTTAAAAAATTATGCTATTGTTGCAATTTAATCTATTATAGAGGATTAAATCTGGTTAGAATTATGTCCTCGAAAAAACTAAAATCTCGTTACACTAAAAATAATAAAAAAGTTATTAAGACAATCTGTTTGTGATAATCTTTCGAATTATCATATTAAGTTTACAGTAATAACTATATTATTTTCGATATAATAAATATTTTTTATAATTACAGTATGCTCTTGGGAGGGGAAAGCCTATTCCAACTTTGAATGTTCAAGAATGTTCTTAATTAGAAATTACTTGAAAATATGACAGCATAACACTCTAATATAGTATTTTAGTAATTGTAAATGCCTAATCACTTCTTGTTCCACTTAATCTTTTGAATAATAGGAATTTGATTTGTTAATTGCAATTGTTTAAGTTGGAACATGTGGAGGTCAATGACACTCTTGATAGAATTCAATTAGAGTTGATAATGATAATTATTTTAAAGATAATTGTAAATGATTTATTTATTTTATATCAGTGAAACTTTTTATAATGACATTGTTTATCTAAATATTTTGTTGATGTAGTAAATATTACTATATTATCATATAATATAATATAGCATGAAAAAAATGATCTACAAAACTAGTTACTAATTAAATTAGGAATCATTTATATATATATATATATATATATATATATATATATATAAATTAAATTCAAAATAAAAAATTGTTGACATCTATACACTTGTATGATGATCCACATATTGTGTTGTGATTAAGGTCAACTTTTTTAATAAAAGATAAAAAATAAAATTACACCATAATGGCAATTTGATTCTAAAAATACCTTTTTTTTTTTAGAAATGAAGATAGTGGTAGGTAGGCATATATAGCTAATATATTTATTTATCTATGGAAAAGCACATGAAACAACAAATTAATCAAAATTTATAGAGAATTCACACTTTCTTGGGAATTAAAAACGAATATTTCTTTCGTTTCAAATTAGTTATCATGTTTTCTTTATTTAAAGTTAATTAGATTTTTTTAAAAATTAAAATTAAAATATTAAAAAATTATGTAAAAATATAATAAATTATAATTTTTTTCATGTTAAGTTAAATAAAAGATATATTTTAAATTATTAATAAAATTTTTTTATATAATTTAACTCTGAAGACGTGAAACATAACAACTAATATAAACAGAGAGTAACAATAATTTAAGATGGTAACCACAACATCATTAAGAATATTATAAGTCAAAGATTAAGCCCAATAATCAAATTTGACCTTGAAAAAGTACAAAAATGTCAAATCAATTTCAATGATATGTGTGAGATTTAAATCAAATAAAAACAAAAAGACACTAGTCATATTATCACATGGGATTGCATATTGAACTAGAATTCCTTGTTGCCTTCGACAAGGATAATTACCTCAAAAACATTTGAAAATTTAGTGTTTAAAGTATTTCGTATATATATATAATTTTTAAAAAATTATATCTTAAGAAATATGATATAGACGGTCTATTTTAATATTAATATTTATGGTCATTTTTATTATTCAAATTTATGACCTATAAGTTATCGCGAAAATATATTTGTCTTAAGAGATTCACCAAGATTTTCAATCTGATTATGAAAACTAACTTTTGAAAATTTGTTTGACAAAATGTCTATAGCATGTTCGGTTAAGCTTTTCAAATATACTACCTCTGTTTCTATTTACTTGTCCATATTTTCTTTTATATTTGTCCCTATTTACTTGTCCATTTTAACAAATCAATAAAAGAAAACAATTTTTTTCCTAATATGCCAGTATTTAATTCTAGAAAATTTTCAGTACTACTAAGTTGTAATGCATGCTTTTTGGAACTAGAAAATAAATTTATTATACTTCGAGAGTTGCATAATCTTTTAAGTTATGGATAAATTTGTAACTAACCTATGATAATAATTGGTGCCTTAATATGTGTGTCACTTCTGAAGTGGACAGCTAAATAGGAACAAAGAGAGTACTTATTTTGAGAAATAATCCCTTTTTCAAGAACGCTTTTCGAACAAATACTTTTGAAGAATAACAATTTATTATCATATTTAACTAATTAATTTAATAAACAGTCAAACAATCTCTCCATATCAAAGAGAAGAAAGGAGAAAGGATGGAGCACCAAATTAAATGAATGTCTTTTGACTAATGAGGTAAGAGTGCAATAATATTTTTAGAAACTCCGAGTAATTTAGAATCGTTTAGACATTTTACATTTAAAAAAGAATGAGAGAAAATGATTGATGAGTTTGAGCATTGGGAAAGTTGATTGATTGTTGCTATTTTGCTCATGACAAAATTTAAAGATGAGTAATCAAAACAAATCTCCCCTAATAATTGTGGTACGTGAATTAAATTTCTTCTATGAAAAAATATATATACACAAAAGCTTAAAGAAGTTTAACATCTACTGATATATACATCATTACTAATTTTAACTATTGATATATAGTATAATTTTCTGCTTAAAAGAATTCGACCATACTCGAGTCTCCTTCCATCCTAACTTAGGCTTCAAATAAGTATTTAGTAATGAAAAAATTCTGATCATCACCTTAACTGACGCTAATTTAAATTAATCGAGACTTCAATACTGATATTTCGAAAACCAATACAAAGACGAGAAAAAAAAGAAAGCTAAGAGTGTGAAATACCAATAAGTGCAAAATTGACAGGTCCATTGAACACAAATACCTAAATTTACCAACCTATATTGGACATATTCCATTTAAGACAAGAATGAATATGTTTGAATTTCAACCCTCAATGGATGACTTTTCACCCATTTTTGTGTGTCATAATTATTCTTTCAAAGACAAAAAAAGAAGTAAGTAAACCAAAATTACTTAATTCTATTCCTTCCAAGAGTTCAATAATTCTCTCACTCCCAAAATATTTGTCAGGTATTGAAGAGCCAAATTACATGTATTTTGACCAATATGATTGAGATGTACTTTTAATCGTATTGATCATATGAAAAAAATTGCAAACTTATAATAATTTTTGGTTGGCATAATCAAAATGAGATCTAAAAATGAAACGTATCTAGACTTTATCCTTATCTTGTGAGAGGTAGAGCTTATTTTCGATAAACCATCAACTCAGTTGGTTGGCATAGTCAAAATGAGATCTAAAAATGAAACGTATCTAGACCTTACCCTTTACCTTGTGAGAGGTAGAGAGCTTATTTTCGATAAACCATCGACTCAAAAGAATCGATATACAAACTCGACATCAATCTAAATCAATTAAAACAAACAAAGCAACATACTTACATCCATATTTTAAAAAAAACATAGAAGAGAAGGTTGTCTGTGACAAGATTAGTGGCATCAATAGGCTGCAAGATGCACACAATGAGCCTATCTAATACTTCCAACATCAATCATACCTGTGAAGTCCCACTAAATGGAGTCGGAGAGGGTGGAGTGTACACAAACTTTACCACTACTACCTTATAGAGGTAGAGAGACTGTTTCCGAAACCCTATAAAATACTTCCAAATCCCACATATTAATCATGCAAATGATCATTTTTTACTTAAATTTTTCGAAAAATGAATTACACAAACCATAACATTCAAGTACATATTATTTAGATAAGATATTATCCATGTAATTTACAATAAGCACCCAAAAGGCACTTGAGGATGAGTCTCTTGTCCAAATGAAAGATAGGTATTGAGTATTAAACAACTGATATAATTTACAAGAAATCCAATTTCAGTCAAAATTGGATTCAGTTCTTTCTTTTTTTTCTTCTTTTTTTGCTTTAAAAACATTCATGGCTTAGCTTAAGAAATTGCAAGATGTACTTGCACCTCCAGCCAAAATTGGATTCCAGCTCTCTTTTTTCTTTATTCCATTTTTTTTGTCCTGCATCTTTTACATAGCTCCAATGCTCTTCATGTAAAGGAGTATTTGATGTCTTTCGAGCTCCAGCAATCTGGTTCTTTCGAGCTCCAGCAATCTGGTCACTGCACATTTCTTCATGTGCTCTCAGTTGTTTTCCGCAAAGAAGTAAAATTGAACCTGCAAAGAAGTGCATAGATCACGAATCTAAATGCGCCTCTAGAAACGTTCACTCATTCCATTTGGTAGAAGTAGGTACAATACCTAATGAGCGGCTTCTGAGGAACCTCAAATGCAGCAGATGCAATGCTGGAGGATGGTGCTGGCTCAATTGGCTTTAAGGGGCAAGGGGAAAGAGGCAAAAAGATTAGAAGTTCGAATACAACATTTACTCATTTGAAGTAGCAGGCAAACTTATTATAGCATACAATCGAGTCACAGAGAAATAGAGTGGTCTAACAAGAGCTCTTTATTAAAGCTCCTGAAGTATTCTTCAGTGCGAAGACTAATTGAAAAAGGGAAACAAAAGAGGTGGAGGAGAAAATGAGCTAAAAGACTTGTACAGGAAAGCAACTTTGAACATATCAAGCTTCTAAATATAACCAAATTTATGTCTTTGAATCCCAAAAAGACTAACAGTACTGATAATTTAGTCTGAGACACTTATTGATTTCAACAAACTACAGCAACAAAATGCTGCCAATTTGTACAATCAATTCCAAGAAGACAAACAGAACTAATAATTTATGGCCAAGACGAATAAAATACTTTTTCCTAATATGACAGCTTGAGTAAGAGTGCAATAGAGGGACAAAAGTCGCATCAAAGACATCAAAGAAAAGTACAATCAACTGCTTATCAAAATTCTAAAAGGTTCACTATGTTGGTCTCTATAAGAGACATTATCCATACAAAAAATAGTCTAGGTATGATGCAGCAAAAAAGTTGGAAAGTGAGAATATTTGTATAATGCAACTGTGTATGGAGAGACTGAGGGTGCACAAAATCAGGATCTCAAAAGACAAGTAGTCGATATGTTTGGGATTAAAATTGCAGTAAAAGAAATTAGAAAACAACCTCAAGTTCTTCCAAGCCCTCGCTTTGCAGGACATTATTGCTAGAACCACCAATTCTGTCCTTTTCCTCTGATGTTGCTGCCCCAACAAATTGCTCTGGTGTAGGGGGCTCTGTCTGCAGCCCATTAGCCCCATCAAAATGCTTAGCTCCATTTGTCAACTCCAGGTCATACCCAAGATCTTCAACACCATGGGGTTCACTTTGCTGGCCCACAGTCAGTTTGGCAGATTGCATGACTGTTAACTCCGTTACAGCTGCACCAGATGCAGCCACAGGCAATGTACTCGAGGTATCACCAGTATCGGCTTCAAAGTGTTTCAACTCCCTAATTTCACCTGGTGAGCTGGCATCACTGCCTTTTGGGCTAAGACCTGCAACAACTTCGTCATGTTTTCTCTTTCTGCTAGAAGCAGCATCTGGAGAAGTTGTTTTAGCAGAACCAAGCGATCTTGAGCCTGAACGGCTTTCACTTTTTGCAGGCTGAGCAGGACGTACTCCTCCCGGGAAGACAAAGTCGGGAAGATCCTTTCGTCTTACATGACACACATTAATCCACATGCTAGATTTCCAAAAAGAATATGCATATACATCTCGCTTAAAATCCTCAACTGTCGACCTTATATCAAATTGTTCGCCTTGTTGATAACTTGCACCTTCTTTTTTGCGCAATCCCATAAAATAAGAATGGTGAAATGGCTTAGATTTATCTGAGAATTCCCCCGGATGTGGATGGCACTGAAGTACACCGACTGTATCTCTCTCAATCTATATGAATAGGAGCAAGAAAGCTTGAACAATCAGTTCCTTTGGCGAAGCAATAGCGGTGAAGCCATCAAAATGTGAAGCAGAAGAAAGAAACATCACCTTTAGAGTAAGCAGGCGTATCCTAGATTCAACCCATCCTTTCCATTGCCTCATGTCATCGTCACTTTCTGTAGCTATGTCTATTCGCAAGTAGTTTTTATAGGCTTCAAAGAAAGGGAAAGGCTCAAATAGACTTCCCCAGCTAGCTTTGTTAGCTTCTATTGCCTGTATACACACAAAACTAAGTGAGTGAATGAAAACCTCAAAATTGATTAAATAGGAATAATGATTGGAAGATAACAGCAATAGGATAAGAATAGAAGTCAACTGTGGAGCATCGATGCCACAAAAACCAAATGAACAGTCTAAAAAGACGTTAGGAGATCAAGTATTAAAACCATGAGCACCAAATTCATTCTTTAAAAAGAATGGTAACAATAACCATGAACACCAATATACATGCTTGAGCCTCCTAAGCAAACATTTAAGCCTTAATTATGGAAAAAGCCAACATCAATTGAGCAAAGACTGAATGAAATTCAGTAAAGAGCAGAGATGAAGTAATCTTTATGACAGCAGAACTTCTAACCTTCATATGACACGAATTCTTATTTCACTTATATGTATAGGAAGGGCTGTTCAAAATTTTCTAGGGGGTTAAGCACGTCCGTTCCTAGTTTGCAGCATGCACTAAACACTACAGTTGAAGGCTTTCAATTCAACTGTGGTATGAATCAAGACTGAAATATTAAGACTAAACAACTGTAGACTGTCTCAATAGCAGAGCTTAGTTCTCCCAAGGTTTATTAGAATCAGGCATACTCACCAAGTTAAATTCTGCTGCTACTATCTCTGGTTTTATGGTTAAGACTTACGATTTAGCATTCCATAGGCATCACACATTTGGGATATTATGCCTACTTTGAATTTTTTATTTTTTGGTTCTTTTTTGAAACTGGTCATTTTATTCTGTAATATTGAAAAAAATAGGTATTTTGTATATTAAATAAAAATAGAGAGAGAGTGGAGGACATATATAGCTCTAATTTGTGCCACTCTTGTTGCCCGGGATGTAAGAGATGTAAGGTAAATATAGTCATTAAGGAAAACTCTGAATCTTATGGAGCTACTTAATTGCATGCAACTTCAGTTAGACGCTACCAAACTACAACAATTATGACATGCATTACGCAACGAAAACATGGAACACTGAAACTAAAGTAAGCAGCATGTGATTTATCATGTTATAAAGACAGTTTGAGCAAAATGCCTCTACTAAACCAACGATGGTACTCCCACAGGACGCCACACCTCAATTCAAAAAAGCATGATTCAGAAACATTCTTAAATCATAGTTTTGTTCTTAATGTGTATTAGATAAATAATATAAGCTAAATGGGTTTAATTAATAGAACCAATAAGAAGATAAAACCTGCAGATCAAAATGATTGTATTCAGTAGAATAGAAATAGCAGTAATCCCCAAATAACTGAGCACACATAAATACCTCACAAATTTCATTCCCTCTAAGGAATTCTTCCATCATGACACGCAAGGTACTCGTTGAAACATTGTAACTCGAATTCATGCAGGGGTATGCTGGAGTTATTATCGGCATTAGATGCTGCCTATCTTTGAAATTCCTCCGAGGATCCCAATAGGCCAGCCCTAGAGATCCTTCATTTATTGGACACAGTAAAACTGGGTTTGGCCAGCGCCACAAACTGTAGACTCTGAAAAAACGAGAAACCAACATGCTAGGAGCTGCATTAGGATAAAGCTGGCAAATCCTAGCAACAAGCAGTGCCCAATTTATACCGCCTAGAAATCCTGTAACCTGGTCAAAATAGAAGTGACACAAGTTTAAGAGAGGTGAACAATCTTTCACTAAGATGGCAGGTTCTGCACTTTTAAAGGACGAATAAAAGATTATACAAGCGGCCATGTCTGATTCTTACGTTTGAGTAAACTCCACGCCTTTTTGCCCACAATCTCATGCATCTCAGTGCGGTGCGGAAACTCTACAGGAACCAAAGGGGAGGGGGGATTAAGCATAAAGTTTCAAATCATATATATTTACACAATTGTAAGGCAAAAACCTGAATATTCGGTACTAAATGCAAAACTTGATCTGTTACTCTGCATCCATTAAGACTACGAACAGTCTGATCATCCACATTCTGTAGTATAGACTCCTGAGAAACATCCAAGTCCTGCGACAGAAAATAGAATTAAAATGTAATACAGTGCACCTCAAGAAGTTCAAACATTATAATATTTATGCAACAGCATACCAAAATTAAATGAATAATATGACAATAACACTAGTAAGAATTATGATCTTACAAATACAAGGAAAACAGTATAGCCATCAGCAAACGACAGGACAGAAGATAACTGAAAAATACTGATCACGTATAACATTGATGACTATAAAGATAAGTAGGAATGAGCAAGTATATATTTCAGATTTATAAAAAGTAAACAAGAAACTAATAGACCTCTTATTTGAGGGGATACAAAACTTTTTCGATACTTTGAAGAGTCGAATTCCAGAAGTCCTCGTGCAATTGCAGAAAAAACATACTAATTTGCATTTTACAACCAAGATCCAGGAGAAGATGCACAAATTAGATAGCATAGTAACAAGATTTCACTCCCCCGCCCCCTTTTAGATGTTCAATTAGTATTAAGAACCTAAAGCAGCATATATCCTCATAAGATAACAAGTGCAGTTTTCAATACCTATCCATTGTTATTTAATAAGCATCAAGTGAATTCTTAAAGATACAGCATAACTATAGTAGTTTTCCCTTGACCAGCTACTACTTGCATCCAAACCGAAAATAAAGGGAGCTAATAAAATCTATCGAGCCATCCACATGTCATTTGCAAGTAACATTCTACACCAAAAAGGCGAATAACCCCCAGTTTCTAAGTAGGAGACAAATTCCCTTCAAAACATCCTCTCTCCAAAAAAATCCACAAACTGCATCAAGGCTGTAATTCTATTTTTCTGTTTCCACTTTTGTCACTGCCCATACCACAGCAATAAGCATAGTTAAGGATATGCCACACGACTACTTCATCCCAACTAAGTTGTAAAACATATCGCGCATTTATTTAATCAGGAAAATGAAAAAGTAAACACACCAAAGTGAGGTGCTGAACCCACCATGAAAGGTTCACCAATTCAACCAATTATGAAGACAATATGTAGAAGTGTATAACAAAGTCAAATGCTCATCAGAAGACAGATTTTCTAGCTACCAAGGATGGTGCATCTCAAAGCAAGAGTATAATGAATCACAAACAAGAGAATCATACCTCAGGAATAACCCAGAGTGCTACATTCGCATACAGAAGGTCTATAGAAACGCCATTGAGCTTGAATTTCATAACAGGAACGCGCGCATCAGGAACAGGATGAAGTTCTTGTATTTCAGGCATCTCTTCAAGCATTCTATGAAGTTCACCAAAGAAGTCCTGCAATGTAAAGAGGAATATTACATGCATCAACCTTCAGCACAGAATCCTAAAATTGAAGGATGTAAACTGAAAAGGTTATCATCCTACCTCACGCATCGCATGTCTAGGTCCTACACATAGTGTGTCTATATCAGCACCAGGACCATGTACCTGTTAAAAAAGATCAAAAAGAAGTTAACTTGATAAAGTAAAAGGGTAAAAAAGTACCCGACAAGCAAGATAAGCCAACTAATGTAATATACTAAATAGACAAGCAAGATAAGCCAAGCAATATAGATGTAAAAAATACTCCGTTTGTCTTTATTGACTTAAGTCACCTTCTGTGTAAAGTCATATTATCACAATACTTGAATGTAATATGTTTACTATCTGAAGTTTGTCCTTCCAATTTTCAGTCCCGCCTCAAAAAAGGGTGACAACTACAGAAAGTATCACTCCATAATTCTTCCCCATAACTTCCCAAATTTGAAAACCTAAGCATCACAATGATGAGAAAAAAGACCGAGGAACCCAAAGGGTGAGGCCTAGTGGTTAATTGAACAGACTGAGAACCATAAGGCGTTATGTTCAAATCCCAGCGGAGGCAAAAACACTAGGGTGATTTCTCCTCATTTTTCCACAATGTTGGTAGTCAGAGTTACATGATTCCTGATACCTGATACCTGCTAGTAGGAGATAGCAAATACCACATGAAATTGGTCGAGTTGCGTGCAAGTTGGCCCAAAACACTATGGTTATAAAAAAGAATGATGAAAAAGGACCAAGTTGCAAAACCAACTCATAAATAACACAACATACTTGACAGGACAACAACAATATACCCAGTGTAGTCCCACTTTGTGGGATTCGGGAAAGGTAGAATGTACACAGACTTTACCCCTACCTCGGGGGAAGAGAGGTTGTATCCAATTGATGGGAGAAGTAAAACACCTAATTGTTCTTGCTTACTGAAGTTGTCACAAGATCGCTATAAATTAAAAAATCTGCAAGGGCTTGACGACAAGTTTTAGACCATATGCCCACTCCTCAATCAGGTACTAAATAAGATTTAACAAATTTATTATATATACAACTGCCTTTAACCTAAGGAAAGCTTGTACTCACTAAATATCTAATCAAGCAAATAACCCCCAACCCACCCAAAAAGTTCTTCAATTTAAGTTGTTACAGTGTTGAGCCATAGACAAACAAACAGAAGTGTCAGTCTATATGCTACAAGTTGAATCTAACAAAGTGAATAAACAAGACAAAAGAGAGACATACACCAAGCCGATATGAGCCAAATGTGAAGATTTTTGCATTTGCCTCATGCACCAGATCATCATTGAAGCCTTTAGCACGACAGACATTTTTCACCCACGTCTTCACAATCTGTTCCACTCCAAAATTAGAAATTAATGACTTTGTTAAAGAAGACTAGGAATTGTTAATTTCAAAAATATGAAAAACCTGGTCTAATCTTCCTAGCACTTCTTCCCTTTTAATGGCCTCTTCATGACTTTCATATAAGCCTGCATCTGCAAGAAACTGAAAAAGTGCAGTCCTCAGCAGATATTTTTAAGAAATACAAACTCTCTCTCTCTCTCTCTCACACACACACAAATATGTGGACGCATGTGTGTGTGTGTGTATATATATATATATATAAACTGGTATCTCGGAAATCATATTTAGGTTCAAACATTGTTCTCTCTTGAATCAGACATCATTTCCTTGGGAACTAGTTTCTGTTAGTTTAATCATTCAATGGAAAAACAAAACATAGTTGAGAAGGAAAACATAGCTTGATTTTAAATCACAGCTTAGATTGATTTTTAAAGCACCCTCTCAATGTGAATGTTTGATTAACTTCAAAATTGAATATCCTACCTTATTAATCAAGCAAATACAAAACATTTCTACTAAAAACTAGTTTAGGCACGGTATAGGCTTGTAGTTGACAAGCCTTCTGAAGGGTATTTATGTGAAGTATTACAAGTACTCAGGTAAGACCTTAGCTTAATTTGCTCAGCTTAACAGCAACTTTGATGACAATGAACCTGCAGTGCACAAGGTAAACCCCGCTCTAGTGTGATAGCCCGCAAACCACACAGGAGAGTTGAACCACACTAGGCAAGCCATGTGCGACGAGCTCGACCAAAAAGGCATGCTGGGTTTCAAACCAGAGACCCCCCATCTGGGAGATCCCTGATTCAACCAACTCAGCCAGATTTGCAGGTTACTTAAAAACAGTATTTATAATTACTCATACTCACAGATATACGGGTTTGGCCTTTCTGGAGTTGAACAGCAAATCTCTTTGAAGATCCATATGTTCTAACTACTATACTGAAGTATTTAACAAGTATACAATGGAACTTTTTAACTTACAAATCAGCTCAACACAAAGTGACCAACGCACAACCTCACAGTTTATAACCTTTGAATTATGCAAAATCAACTCTACCATAAATTCAAATTCAGATTCTTTATACATAATCTGAAAATCCATCACATACACAGCAGAAAAAAATATTTTTTTCTAATCAAAAGTATAAGGTAAATCAAGAACAAACCTTTTCCAGTTCCCGGTTTCTAACAACATCCAATTCAGAGGGTCCACCAGTTGAAATTGGCTCAGATATTCCATATCCAGTGTTACTCATCCTCTCCAGAAAACACAAATAACTATTTCTCTTTTTTTTCTTTTATACTCAATTGAAAAAAAACACAGCAAAACTCTTAAAGCTCTTATCTTTTTTGCATATAATAACAAAATAAACCTTGAATCACAAATTGTTTTCTCTTTTTTTCATAAATCCACTTACAACAGTTGATTGAATGTAACTGGAGAAACAAAAAAAGGCAAAATCAAAACTGAAAAAGGAAAAAAGAAAATTTATGAGTATTATACTTCAGACAAATTCTCATTAAATTGAGAGAAGCTACAATCAAACGAAATACAATAAAACAACACCAAAAACTACAAACCCTAATTTTCTCGATTTTTTTTCTTTTTTTCTCTAATACAACTTCACACCACCAACAAAGCTACCGTAGCTGCTCAAATTTTGCAAAATAAAGCCTTAGAAACTGTAATATTCTCTCAATTGGCGCCGATTTTTGCTCGATTAAAGCTTCGTTCTTCGCAGGATCGAAACCCTAGGATTTAACCCAAAAAAAATCAGAAAAAATTAAACCGATTGAACTTGAGATTGTATATGCAAACATACATATATACAAAAAAAATAAAAGAGAAATCAAAGATGAAGCTTACCGGAGAGAGACGAGGCGGAGCCAACTGGTCGACGAATGAGGAACACAGAGGAACAGGGCACTGAAAAGCAATAAATAATGGAGAAATATTTTTAATTAATTTATTTTTTGTGTAAAAATATAAAATACTTAATAAATAGACGGAGTAGATTAGAACGTTACAAGTTTGAGTCGTGAAAAATATATAATACTTAATAAACGACGAAGTGGAATAGAGCGTTACGAGTTTGAGTCGTGAAAAGCATGTTACAAGAACACGTGTTCAGACTAATTACAATTAGAATATTGTGGTACAAACTTTTTGATTTCGAGTTACAAAAATAATATCATAAAACTGTTTATAATAAACGTTTATAATGCTTATTATTTGACTATTTCTTAAATAAAAAGTCTTAAATTCAAATATTGGTTATAAAAAAACTTTAGTAAAGAGCGTTGTCCCCCACGAAAGTTACACCATGCGATATGAATCTAAACTAATCGAACACAAATATGTATACCATATACATAACAAAAAATCAAAAAGGCCTATAAGTAAATGAGATTTAAACTTGAGACGAGATTAAAATTAGAATACTTTGTTTAAATAATTATTCTATTCTCGTTGCTTGAACTTGTGACCTATAGGCTATAGCATATAGATATGTGCAAATACATTTCATTTATATCGTCACAATATTTATGAGATAAAATTTTAATTACGAAAATATACATTATCAAATATAATTTCTCTTTTTACAAGAATTTAAAATTTTGTCAGAAATAAAATAAAACCTACTTTATATGGCTTAATTTTGCTAGTTACAAACAAAAATACCCAAAAAGCGTATAGTTATAAAGGAAATTGTATAATAAGTAATAACTATGAAAATTAAGAACAAGATAAAAAAAATATATTTTATGGGAATATAATGAATTTTATTTTAAAAGTGTCACACAAAATTAAAAAGAAAATTAACAAGTGAGACTTTCTTGGAAAGCAAAATAATTTAGAATAAAAAAAATTTGACAAAAAGAGAGAAAAACAAAAAACCTATTTGAATAGACATAATTTCTCTTCAAGAATACTGTGGTTTCCTTTTTATATCAACAATAATAAAATAATATAATATAAACACAATTTAGAAACTATATAAAATGTACATTATATAGTTTAGTTTTGGACTTTTGGTAGCTTTTATATATATATATATATATATATATATATATATATATGAAAATAATAATTAATTTAGGTTTACATACCTATCAATTACAAAAAAAAAAGATTTGTTCTTGTGCTACAAACTTTATCAAATTCTTGTACGATCACAATTTTATTAGTAAATAGTGTACAATGATTTGCATAAATATAAGTTAGAATAAAAAAAATATAATAATAAATTATCACAATAAATTAAATTAAAAAAATAATAATACATAAATTAATACAAGTATAATATAATAAATAAGAAAATATAATCAACGTAAATTACATAAAAAAGTGGAAGATTATGCTTTCCAACTCACTAATTAGTTAAAGTTTTAAGTCCTTAATATTTGAAAACTTAATTAAAGCTTATAATAGTGGAATATGGTGATATCACACTTATGTTACTTTTAAAATTTATAATTGAGTAGGTGACAAGTATTTTATGAATTTTGTAAAAATATGTATAAGGGCCCGTTTGGATGAGCTTGATAAAGCAGTTTTAAAAAAGTACTTTTGAAAGTGCTGAAACTTATTTTTAAAATAAGCAGTTATGCGTTTGGATAAAAGTGCTGAAGTTGTTATGTCAAATGTGAAAAGGGAAAAATAGAAGAAAGACATGTTATGGTTTATATGGGTAATTTGGAGATTGCATAAAAATATTAAGGGAAAAAACATATAAAAATGAGGTCAATTTAAAACAGCTTATAAGTTAAAAAAAAAACACCCCTACCCCAGCTTTTAACTTTTGGCTTAAAATAAGTTTTTTTTTAACTTAAAATAAGTTATTTTGAGTATTGTCAAACAGTGAAATAAGTCAAAAACCAGCTTTTAAGCTGAGCCAAACAGGCTCTAAGTTGATTTGGATACTATAATTTGAGTATGATAATTATATTAAATCTTTTGAGATTTATATGTAAAAAGAATTTATTATTAAGTTATCGAGTTTATATAAATTCAGTACTTTGGATACTGAATATAACTATTTGTTGATATCAAGTTTATGAATTTTATCGAGATTTAAATACAAGGGCACTCCTTCTTCTATCAAGAAGCAAGATTAAAACATAAGTACAAGCTTTACGCGACACAAGTATGAATTAATTGATACCCCAAAAATGGATGTCGAATTTGGGAAACCAATTTTAATATTTTCCCAAAACACATGGGCATGAATGAAATAAGGGTAAAACTAAAGGGCTCCTTGTACAAATTCCACTACTTTAATATTAGCGCCATTTTTATCTCAATTTTTTTAAAATTATATATTTCGCGCAAAAATGGCGGGTTAGGGTTTGATCTCATTCTCTCTTCGTCCACTCTGAGCATTTGGGTGAGTGTTTGTATGCTAATTTTGTGTATAATTTACTCTATTTTTGTCAAATCTCGAATAAATAGAGTAACTTTTAGTTATTATTTTCTGGTTTCTTTATTTTTTCTGAATCAGTGAACTCAATATGGTTGCATTTCTGAAAGAATCAGAAAGATTTGAAATGTTCGTAATTTGTTGCTTCTGGGTTTTTGATTTCAGCGAGTTGTAGCGAAGATTGTGGTGAAGTTCACTTTTTTAGCATTGAAAATGACAAGTTATTATGATATTGATGATATATTAGCTGAGGAAGAGGTAATTTCTAGTTCATGATTTTATTTTTTGGGTTGAAAATGTTTCTAATTAGGTATTTGGTGTATATATATATATATATGGGTTTGATACTAGTTTTGTAATTCAGATGGTTCCAGCTGTGTTCTTGCAAACAGCTAATGAAGTTGGGATATTTGATTGTGCTGATGACACTAACAAGGTGAAATTCCGAGGGTTAATTTATGTCGAATCTGTTTTGTTTTTTGATGGGAAAACTGATGGTTATTTACTTTTTGAAATCCAGGTTGAAGCTGGTACACATGTAGAAATGCCCTTTTGGCTTGCTCAGGAGCTATATGTGAGACAAGTGGTATCGATCAAAGTTCCTCCATATTTTGATACCAAGTAAGTAAAGATCCTAGCGTTTCTCCTTTAAGTTTCACGCTTTCATCTATTTTAAACATGAGTGGAATTAGTTTACGCAAAAATGCAGTTATTGGAAGAGATGTTGGATATGCAGGGTTACTTGGTCTTACTTGTGCCAACATCAAGTTATTATAGTATAAGGATTGTAAGTCACTTGTTGTTGTTTTGGCCTGATGAAAATCTGCCATGCTGGGACTCTTTCCTGCTTTGTACAGAACATGTCGTATCTCATTTGACAATTCGCATCTCAGTTCTAACTTTTCTCTCTCTGGGTGGGATGGTGTTTGGGTGGGGGGTGGTTGCAGAAGTATGAGTGTCTTATCTCAGTATTAAAGTTCTTGGTATTCAAGTGGTACTTGTTTTGTAGATCTGAGAGTAAAAACCTGGTTGTTTCTTGTATTTTAATTTACCAGAGCCAAGACGAGGAATGAAATAGGAGCTGATGCAGCACATGTTGATCTAAGGAGTTTATGTCCATACTTTTATGATTTTGGATGCAAGATAGCACGCCTGTGAGTTCTTCTTGACTATGTTCCCTTCTGCCTGCAACTTGTCATTCTTTTTATCACTTTATAGCTGTTTCCTCTTTTGCATGAATCCCCAGTGCCCAGGTAAGGGAACTGATATAATATGATTGATTTTATTTTGCAATAGTCGCCAAGTAATGTGAGACAAAACCTTTGTACTTCAACTTTTAGCTGGTTATTTACTTCTAAGCATCAGTAGATTCATTTGCTATCTTGATGATAAAAAAATAATCACTTGTACTTGCAGTTGTCATTTCTAGTGTAGCATTATACTTCTAATTGGTCTAAATCATCTATGATTTGATAAAAAATCTTCAGTGTATTATCATGCTGTCAGCGTCTTTAAATTATTCGAGAGGTATAATTTATCTCATTCGGTGGTCTGGTTTGATGGGCTAATAAGTTTTTTTGAAGTTCAACTGTTTTACAGCAACTAATGTGGAGATAGTGCCACCCATCTTTTGAAGTTCTATTTTACAGCAATGCACCCATCACCAAAGAAATGCAAAACCCATTTTGTTGCTATCTTGGAGGGGTTTGCCTTTCTTTGGTTATTGGTGCATTGCTGAGATTAGGAGATTGGAAGCTTTTCTAGAAAAATCGATTTTATTGTTCCTTCTTCACCTATAAGCTATTCGTATCTGAGTTGCTATATTAAATGTGTACAATTGGGAAGCGAAGGGGATAAGAAAGGGAAGAGATTATGCATATATCAGCTCATCATTGAACATGAGGATGAGTTTGGTTTATACTCATACCTTGTTGCATCCTGCACTCAAAATGATTTAAGCACATTAAATTCTTGAATCTTCTGTTTGCTATCCTATGTTTTCCCTTCAAGGGAAAAAATTAAAGGAAATTTAAATGCATGCATGTAACTGGTGGCTCCTTTATTTTTGTTGTGGAGAGGCTCTTACTCTGTTTCTCAGTGTAGTGATATAGTTCTTATTATTAAGCTGTTCATGCAATTATAAATTCATACAACAATCTTTGTGTTTTTAATATATCAATTTTAACTGCTTTGAAAACCTATTAAGTGATAATTCACGAAGGACCAACATGGGTACCCTTAGGCCTTAACTAGAGGTCTCGGGTTCGATCCCCTGGGTATGGAGAAAATCCTGTAGGGAGCGCCACCTCCGAGTGGGCCTTGTAGAGCGCAATCCGGGTTTAGTCGGAGCTCCAATGTGGGCTCCGGACACAGGGTAGAAAATTAAAAAAAAAAAACTCACAAGGGAGGAATGATGATTTTATTCATATAACGATCCTGATTTTCTTGTCCTTTCTGTTGCACATTAGTCAATTGATACAAACATAGATGCTTAATTTGGTTTTTCTTTAGGTCAGCGTTATCTCATGTTCAACATCTTTCTTTTTGGAACAGGATTGGTGAAAAAACCATTGGACCTCTACTTCTGGTTGCATTTCGAACAAGATATAGAGAAGTCCTCATCAAGGCTCATACTGCAGCATCAATTGTGGCACCCAAGCACTTTTCTCTTCTTACAAAAGAAGAGACTAAATGTGAGAAAATTCTGCCAAACTATTGATTCTCTTCCATAATTACGCCCCTGCCCTTCCAAAAATATGTTGCTCAGACTCCTCACAAATGCTAAAAAGGTGCGTGTTGGATCCTTTCAAATCAAGTGCACTTTTTGGCGATCCGATATGGGCGCAACAACATTTTTAGAAATTCTGAGCAACATAGTTCCAAGGGAATATAAAAAAGCAAAAGAAACCCTCTTCTGAGTAGCAGCTTTTGGGCAGTTTCCTGAAAATGCTTCTTTGGAGAAGTTTTAGTAACACAATGAACTGTTTTTCGTTAGGTGTTTTTAGAAGTTTCATTCCCAAAAATATGTTTCCACAAGTAGCATCCCATGTTCATTGTGTCCTTCACACACACCCAACGTTCAAAAGTATTTGTCTAGATTATAGTGAAATGTTGTTATAACGAGGTTTGACTGTGTTAACATTTTGTTTCCTTTCAATGCTGAAGTGTATGAAGCTGGTCAATCCTCAACAGCTGCATTTAAGAAGTGGAGAATGGGAGGTCCTAGACTGCAGAAAGCTTCTGTACTTGGGAGAAAGAGGAAGCCTGTTGAATGAGTTTTTGTACTTGAAACATATGATCAATGTGAAGATGTGTTTGTAGTATCTATTTGGCTATTCAATGAGATTTACATCTCCTTTCAACTAAAACAGATTGTTTGGTACGGCGTACAAAAATAGTATTAAATAAAATGTATTAGTAATGTTGACATTACTATCGACTGTTTGATTTGTGTATTAAATGAATAGAGACAGTGTATTAGAATAATGAATAGTATCCCATATTATTAATGCCATGAATTACTATGTATAAGAATAATATTAAATACGGTATATAACTATAACATGAGATTAAATAGTATCAAAGCTAATACATGTATTGTTTGCGTCAAAACCTAAGGAGCAAGGAAAAACTATTGAGCAAGCAAGGAAGGATCAAAACAATCATTTTACTAGCAATATAGTTCAACTCAACTACTTTTGCCTTAATTCAAAATCAATCATTTTCTTTATTTCTTAAAAGTAGAATGAAAGTTCAATGAAAAATAGTTTTATCACATGATTCAATTAATACATAATCTTTCATAAACTTTTTGTTGAGAAAAAAAATAATTAATCACATATAAAGGGACGGGAAATGTACACACCAACAAAGTGAAAATTCAAATAACCAGAACTTCTCAATCTATTCAATTGGCCAACTAAGAAACTATCTATTCAATAAAGAAGAGAGGAAATATTGACAAACACAATTGTGTAGTCTATCCTGAGAAAGAAATTGCCTCCATTAACAAACATGACTGCGAAACACTGTTTACAAGATCGCTCCTTTTGTACTGATACCATCTCAGTTACACAAATAGGAGGTACCTACTCGATTTACATGTATAGCTATTTCAGTAACACGAACAACACCCTTTAATATTATATCGAACAAGAAAGTGCATCTGCCTTGAATATGAGGGTTTCAGCTATATATTACATGGGGGCAAAGTCGAGAAGAGGATATATAAAAGTAAAACAGTACGCATAGTTATATAGCAGACGATCCTCTTTTCAGCAGCTCCTGAAAAACATACAGGACAAAATAATTTAGATTTCAGCTTTTTATTTCGTGTTGCATTAAGTAGAGCTTGTCAACTACTCGATGCCTATCATGAGGGAAACGAGTGGCTGCATACCAATTTAGTAGCAGCAACAGCCTGCCGTTGCCTTTCCTTCTTATTGCGCTGGCACTCTGCACACCAGCTGGAGGTGTCCTTCTGGTGCTTCCTTATCTCCCTAAAGACAGAACTGGAAGGGAAAGATAACAATCATTTAGGTATTCAAGAATTCTAGTAGACGAAAATGAAAAGTTTGTTACTCTGCTATAATTGAATTACAGCAGAATATCGACGTTTTTTATTGTGACAAGTTAAACAAATTTATCAGTTGGAACATGAAAGAGCAATCAAAGTATAATGTATGAATGACCAGCTACTAGCAATGGCTGATGAAAAGTTCAGAGATTTAGATAATGGAAGCCTAATTAAACAATGTCTCTGTAAAAATGCTAAACCAAAGCACAGATGCCAAAAATTAAATGGAAGACATCTGAATGTCTGTATAGATGAAAAGGTCATAATCAAGCATCAATATTGCATACTTAAAACAATCAAAAAGCACTATGTCGGCTTAACTCTTCCAACAGATGGTACATGCAGCAATTACAGGATATTCCAACAACAAGAATTTCAACGATCAAATTTGGAAAGGATTGTCAAGTGCATGACCAAAATTGGAAGGCAAGAGTATCTAATACCTTCTGCACCACAACAACAAGTTGATCCTCTGCCCTGATGTTGTTGCCCTAGCACCATGGCGATGACGACCACGATGCAGCACTGCACGCCCCACGGTATGGGCATAATCGAAGATCTCCTGTTATAATATTAAAGACAGATAAAATAGTGAATGTCCATACAGTTGACATGATTAAGCTGTATTCTGAATTTGATGATTGCTACTAACACACATCTAAGGTGGAGTTGGCAACTTTCTTCATTATTTACACCATAGTAGACAACAAGTATCAGCTGATAGCCTGATACACTTGGTGAGCAAGCAAACACAGTGTGTATTCGTTATCCTTTGCTATTAATGGAAAGATAATTACAAGGCAAATTTTCCCTTCAAAATGAAGTGTCAATAAAGGTCCACAAACTGGATGCCAGTCCAAGGGAGTACAGGTAGTTTTCCCTCTTTTAGTTGGCTAATTGGAGGAACAGAAGAATGCTTGAAGGAGCTGAGGGTCCATTGTCAGAGAGTTAAAAGCTACAATATGTGTCATTTGTATTTTTGGTGTATACATATCATATACTCAAGGTTGGAAGGTCCCTTTTTATGCTGAAGTATATCGTTACTGTATGTTAGACACTAACTTGGTGGATATCAATGGAGTTATTATTTTGACTTGTAAAAGAAAGGATCCCCTTTCCATTCTGAACCATGAACAGATGGTCATAGATCCAACTTTGAGTTAGTTATCAAAAAAGAAAGAAAAGGGAAGGTCCAGTTTTGAGAATCATGACTTCATATAATCAAAATGAACAGTAAGCCTCTTTTTTGGTAAATACCATCAACAGTAATTTTTTTTAATCAGAGAAAGTTGTTTCATTACTTAGTTATCAGAAAAAGATGCTAAACATTACTTGCTTACGAAGTTGTTGATAAGCTACTAACTTTTTATTGTAATGGAGAATGGGCTACTACTTTCAACAACACAATAACCACCGCGTGAAAGAAGCGGAAGTATGAAAGAATGGAACTTCTTTTTATAAATAAAAAATAATGGAAACATGACTTCCTATCAGAGTATAGAGATTCCACATGCACAATAACTGAACTCATACAATGGACAAATAATTACCTCTGGTTGTGTTTCAACATTCACATGCTTCTCACACCGCACTCCACGGAAGAACAGCTCTCCACCCGAGAATTGCTTACCCAAGCACACATTTAAAGTCACTTCTGAATCATCGACATGGAAACCTGAAAAATAAGTTGTTTAGAAGCAAGGCAGTAACTCAAACAACCAAATAAGTTTTGCGGCACTGGAGCAATAGTTTGCACCATATAATTACTAAATAGAAACAACTCACCCAAGTCAACATCTCTGTCCATTCCATACTCAACAACAAAGCCATGATGGGAATCAAGTGTGGATCCACCAACTTCAGTAAAGAAAACTGCACACAAAATTCAAAGTAGAATATCAAAAGAGATCCAGGTAATCTTCTCACTAAGCTCCTCTTTGTTTTCTTTGCTGCATCCTAATAAAAATATACAAGTTCTTACCTCTCGAAATGGGACGAATGAAATCTTCCATCAACTTCTCCAGCATGGCGTCAAGGCCAAAGTCATCAAGAACGGCACCAAATCTGTTCATCGTATTGGGACGCATTATTCTGAATTTCGTCTCACGGACCCACCTCTCAAAGTTTTCTACCTAATCAATTAGAGCCTGATAAGAAAACAGAAAAGATAAACTACAAAAAAGGAAGTAGATTGCCTGCAAATACAAGCAGCAAGGCAGCTAATACCTCAGCCAACAACATCTCACAAAATCGTGGTTGAAGCATTTCGAACGTAAAAACTCCAGGAGAGGGTTCAGACATTATGTTCCTGAAACTTTCCTCTGAGTTCTCACTAATTGCCTTGAGAAATGATGGCACAAAGAAATTTTGAGCATGCATCGTATATAATTCCCTGTGTAGAGGCTAGAATAGAAGGCAAGCAAATTAGAAAAAGAAGGCGATCAACCCTGCAAGTATATTTTTGAGCCGAAATATAGTTTAAGGGTATATAAGCTATTTCGTATAGTTTAACGGTAGTTTTGACCTTTTTCTGTATTTACAATTATCATTAAAATATTAACCCCAAATCCCTTCAGCAAAATGTAAATACCTGATAGTTTGATATAATCTTCTGTCTGTATTCTCTATGCTTCTGGACCTGTTAAAGCAGAGGAGATGAAACAATATAATATTGATAGAGTTACGAAAGAGAGAGTGTGAATTTCACAAATAGCAGGGAAATTTTTTGGAAACCAAGAACAGTCAGAGAAGACTTTATCAGCAGACAGCATTCCAAATAATTCGCATGTAAACAAGGCTTTCACTAGGAGACTGGGATGGTTTGCTCAACTATTCCACCACATTATAAACAATAACCAGGTAGGTTTAACTTACATTATCAGTTCTTTTAAACCAAAATTTTGGTTGTTCATATATTCATCTATACTGGGGTCACATCTCCCCTGAATTATTCAAAAGAAAAAAGCAAAATGCTGTGTCCAACAAGAAAAAAGCTTAGTATGTAGAACACGACAAAAGGGACACAACATTATAGTCATCATAAGATAGAAATTATATATCTAGTCACTGCATTTTTAATCAGGATCCAATCCATCTGAAAAGCCTTCAAATCATTAGCAACTGGCTTATATATGTTTCAAAAAAAAAATCTACTCTCATTATATGCCCACAAAAAAAATAGAGAACTTCTTTTTTTATTTTTTATGGTGTAATATTGGTCAGAGATAAGCTTGAATTGAAAGATATAGTAAGGATTCATCTTGTCAAACCCAACTTCTTGCCTTCTTGGGGTTGAAGATAGTAGTAGTTGTTGAAGTAAACAGCTACTCAGTTTTGCAATAAAATTGTAACCCTTTCAAAATGTTCATTGTACTCAAATTCAAAGTAGATTGGACCTTAAGCTTACAAATCTCTTTTCCCTTTGAAAAAGTAATAATTGCATTGAATTTGTGGAAAATATTTTTGTGATCCTAGTGTGTATTTAGAAAAAAGTAAAGAACTACACCAAAGAAAGGTTCTCTACAAATAACAGCAATCGTCTACGCTAACTATCAATGGTGAGTGCTTCAAAACTTCATGAGAAACAAACAACATCCCATATTTGTACAGAAATATTTCCCATCCAGTTAAAAGATTTACTATTTTTTTAATTCACTTCAGATAGTCTTTTAAATTTTTACTTCTCAAACTATACAAAAGATAAATCAAAATCCAAAAAATAGCATAAACACTTCTGCAGAACACAAGATCAACTGATAGTTAAAGGCGGACACTATGTTTTCCAAGTTATTCACTACTAATCCTGAGTATCTAACAGCAACTTGCATAAGGCAGTTACAAGCAATACAACGCCTGAAAAATTTCCAGTAATAACCAACCAAAAGTCCCAGAAATTTTCATCTTTTTAACTTCTTTTCGTTATTGTTAGCATAACAGCATTCTATCACATCTCAATTCACAACTCTGCACATAATTGAGCTCAAAAAACTCCCTTTGCCATTTTTCTAGCACTAACTAACAAAGGATTTTCATGTACTCAAATTAGAAACAAGCACTAGAAAACCGGAATCCACATTGAAAATAACTGTACCTAGAGGGTACAGCAAACTCAAATAAAGGAAAAATACATGCTAAATCTTATAATGCAAAGCCCACAATTTTCCAGCTTCTCAACAGTCTATCACAGGTCAATTCACAGCCTCACATTCTAACCTAATCAAAATAATCAAACAGTGCAGAAAAAAACAATGAAGCCTAATACATAGAAAAAATTGCAATCCAAAGCACAAAAAAAATCTATCTTCTAATTTATTTCCATTTTCAGCTTCAGTGTTCTATCACAGCTCAATTCATATGATATGTACACTAATCAAACTGTGCTAAACTACATGCAACATTTTGCAATACACCTCCCAAATGTTTTACATTTTCAGCTTCTTAGCATTCTATCTCAGCTCAGTGCCCAGAAAACTAGGATGCTAAATACATTGCAGTACAAATCCCCACTTTTATTTCATTTCCAGCTTCTTAGCATTCTATCATAGCTCAATTCACACACAAGCTTACATCGTATATACACACTCATCAAAATGCACATAAAAATAAGGACTCGACACATGCAAAACTCAAAATGCAGAAATGAAAATTCGATAACTTACACGAGTGCGTTCGCCTTCAGGAAAGTAACGGAGGAGAATTTCACGCATGAAATGAACCTTCTGGTCACGTGATGAGTTGAGAAGAGCAGGCGGAAGATAACGTTCAAGGGAACTAAACAACAACGGACTGAAATCCAATTGAAGGTCATCATAGTTATCCGGTTTGTGATCAACACTAGGGTTCAATCGCAGCCGGTGAGAAGCGTACGGTGGGTAAACAACACCGTTTGATCCATTCCGAACACAATTCCCCATGCCATTTCCGGTAGAGTTTGTTGATTGACCATCCTTCTTCCAATCCATAGCTGTTGCTCCATCTTGAGACATTGATTCAGTTCAACAATTTTTGATTCAGATTCTGAATTTTGGGATTTGCAGGAAGAATTTTGAATGTTATAGGATCATTCTATCAAATGGAGATTAGGGTTTTTTTTTTCAGCTGAGATTTTGCTGAGGGTGATGAAGATCTTTTTAGGGTTTAGATTTGTCAATTCTTAAACATTTTTTATTTTGTTAATTTATTTTATCTGTTTTTCTAATTTTATTTTTTAGATAATTAGAATATGTAACTTTAAGGCCAGTTCAAAACCGATAATTCGAATAGAAAATAGGTTATATAGTTAATGATTTTAATAACGATTTTAATGATTTGAGATATTTTCTTAAAAAGTTACTTAAGTGAACTCAATCGTAAATTAAAAAATTATTATTATACTCTATATATTTTCAAACGAATAACTCACTTTCCTTTTTCGTTTGTTTAAAAAAAACGATATTTTTTTTAGTAATATTTTAATTTCAGTTTTCCACGTGACATGTTTAAAGTCACGGGATTAAAAAGTTGTAATTTTGTATATTTGACATGACTTTTATTTAAGATCACAAGATTTAAAAGTTTTAATATATATTTCTAAACTCCGTGTTAAGTCAAACTAAATCACTCTTTTTGAAACGGAAGGAGTATCATTTTTCACATATATAGCGTGGACTTAGGGTTTAGTTTCATACTCCTTCCATTCCATATTTATTGAATTGTCGAGGTGTTTCATATCCTTTTAAGAAAAATATATTAAAATATAAATTGGACATAGTTTTTCGTTTTTACCCTTATTAGTTATTTGTCAAATATATTGAAGTCATCAAATTAAAAATTCAAATGAAGGGTAAAATTAGAACATTCTAAAAGTAGTTTTGTAAACTTAATAATTTTGGAAAATGAAAAATGTCTCAAAAATTCACTGAATATGGAATGGGTGTAGTTTATTTCGTTGTGTCAAACTCTTAATTATTCTATAAATGTGATAACCTTTGCTTTTGAACAAAAATGCAATGCACGATCCATTTGGTTTGTCCCCTTCTTCTAACATTTTATATATAAAAAAATGTCAAATCTTAACATTTAAATTGTTAATGATCAATAACCGATAAAACAGTAATTAATAAATCAATTAATTTAATTTATAAACCTACCAATAAATCAATTCGATATTTTAAAATCAAACCGAACCAATCAATATTCATCCATTCACAAAATATATTTGGGTTAAGTAACATTTTTCATCTACACCAAAACCTTTCAAATCATAAAAACATACAAAATAAATTCCACATTCATTTTATTGCGTAAAAAATTTAATCTAATTATTTCATTTTCATTTTAATCTAATTATAAAAATATATATTACCTAATAACATAAGGCTCGAATTCGAAATCTCGAGTTTTCTTATTATTCATTTGGTATCTCCGTAGCTTGAATTGTCCATACTGTTTACTAGCGGACTCTTCGAGGACACCAAATAACAAAAAAATAAGCACACACACTGTTAGCCGTCGCTACCAACCCACCAAACTTTCATTTTCTATATATTGTTTCAACAGCGACGTTTTATACTCAAAAAGCTCAATTTCTTTTGTAGAGAGAGAGAAAAAAGAGGCGATTTTCAGGAGAAAAAAATGGCGAGTTCTAGTTTGGTGAAGCTCAACGCATCGTCATCTTCATGGATCGGTCAACAATCGTTCAATCAACGGTCTGGATCTTCCTGCCGGTTGCCTGTTTCGAATCGCCGTGTTTCAGTCATCCGTGCTGCTGGATCTTACACCGATGAGCTCATCAAAACCGCTGTAACACTCTCTCTCTCTCTGTTTATCTATATATGTATATATGTATGTGTGTTTGCGTTTCTCACTTTTATGTGTTTGCATGGTTTATGATCGGATCTATAAGTTTTCTTTTCCGGTGTAACTTGATTTGTTTTATATTTTTCGTTTGGATAATGTATTTTTTGTATTGAATTCCGCTGTAATACTGGAATTTTTTGCAACTGCGCTGCCTTGGTTCGTTGGATTGGTTGAAATTGGAAAGGTTTAGTTTGGTCAACTTTTTGTTTATTTAGATTTTTATGCTGATGTTGATATGTTTGGCTGTAGTATCAGTTGGATCTAGTAGCTTCTTTTTAGTTTAGATCATGCATTTTAAGTTGAATTTTTGGTTAGAAAATGTGTGCTAATTTACTGAATTTTGAAAGTTTGCTGCTGTTGGTTCAGTAGGTTGATGGAAGTTTAAGAGGTTTGCTTTTTGGTCAGAATTGTTGTGTTGGTATTGTTTATAGTGATGCTGATAAAGTTGGCTGTAGTTATAAACAGCTAAAACAGCTACATGGTTCATTCTAATTTTACAACAACTACAACATGTTAACATACCAGTGTAGTCCTGCAAGTGGGGCATGGGGAGGGTAGTGTGTACAGTGACCTTACCCCCTAATTTAAGAAGGACTTCAAAATCTTAAATTTAGGTTGATGACTTGAAAATTTGTTTCCCAGAGCTACATGAAAGTGATATCTCTCCCAGGCACACACACTTCATTTGTTTGCATGTTTTCTGATTGGATTTAATATCTTGGATTCGCTGGATTAGGAAAATGTTTAGTTGGTAAACTTTGTTTTTATATGTTGATGTTGATATGTTCAGCTGTATCTATAAATTGGTTCTCTTGCATGAAGTAACAACTACATTGTATCCACCCGCTTATAACTCACCTTTGCTTAACATTCTTGTAAACTTGGAGAATGCAGGGTAAAAGATGTTCTGCAAAATGTAATAATGCTGAACATTTGTCTATTGCTTACTTGATGTAGAAAACTATTGCTTCTCCTGGAAGGGGCATCCTTGCCATTGATGAATCGAATGCAACTGCCGGAAAGAGACTGGCGTCAATTGGTCTGGACAACACAGAAGCAAACAGACAAGCTTACCGTCAACTCTTGTTGACCACTCCTGGCCTAGGTGATTACATCTCTGGATCCATTCTATTCGAAGAGACACTTTTCCAGTCCACTACCGATGGGAAGAAGTTTGTTGATGTCTTGCGCGATCAGAAGATTGTACCTGGAATCAAAGTTGACAAGGTGTCCTTTTTAACTTGTTTCTATGCCTTGTGTAACTTCTTCTGTGCTTTAGGATTTTGCTGCTACCTTTCTTAAACTTTTGTTGCAAATATTTTTGTTGGTGAACTTCGTGCAATTTAACAGTTCTTTTTTTACTTACAGGGTTTGGTTCCCCTACCAGGATCCAACAATGAATCCTGGTGCCAAGGATTGGATGGATTGGCTTCTAGGTCTGCTGAATACTACAAGCAAGGGGCACGTTTTGCCAAGTGGTATGTTGTGACCTTGCACTTTTCTACTGCTATTCCTCTCTCATGTTTTCTCTTATTCTTTCCTCGGAAGATCAAAGTGCATTTAACTTTTCTGAAGAGTTATGGAACATAAATGGCATGCGGCTTCAAAATTTTCAGGAGAACAGTTGTTAGCATTCCTTGCGGTCCTTCTGCTTTGGCTGTAAAAGAAGCAGCTTGGGGTCTTGCTCGATATGCTGCTATATCTCAGGTAACTTTTAGGACTTTTTCTATCTTTCCGAAGTTGTACTAGAAAATGTGAGATAATTAAGTCAACAGACCCACCCCCTTAGTTGGTTGAACTTGTTTTTGGATATCCTCCGATCTTCAGAATTGGAGGATAATTTTTAAGAATCTGCATGATCTGGGGAACAATGGAAGTTTGTCTTTCTATTTATGGATGGTTAAAGATCATTTTTTTTCCTACAGGACAATGGTTTAGTGCCAATAGTAGAGCCTGAGATTCTTTTGGATGGTGACCACCCAATAGAACGAACCCTTGAAGTTGCGGAACGTGTTTGGGCAGAAGTCTTCTACTACCTAGCAGAAAACAATGTCGTTTTTGAAGGTATTTTGCTCAAACCTAGCATGGTTACTCCTGGTGCTGAACACAAAGAGAAGGCTACCCCAGAAACCATTGCTAAATACACACTTACCATGTTGAGGAGAAGAGTTCCTCCTGCAGTTCCTGGAATCATGGTACGACTTACTTTCTTCAATTCGCTCATTTGTTTCTCATTTGATCAAAATTATCCATAGAAAGATTAGACTTTATAGAAACTACACTCTTGGACCTTATTTCTTTGAAAAACTATAGTTAAGTTGCTACTTTCTTTCTCTTTCTCTTTTTCTTGTTCAACTGTGCTAAAAATCGTGTTTTTCTACTTATCAGTTTCTGTCCGGAGGACAATCTGAAGTGGAAGCGACACTCAACCTCCACGAAATGAACCAGAGCCCCAACCCATGGCATGTATCTTTCTCATATGCAAGAGCACTCCAGAACACAGTGCTCAAGACATGGCAAGGACGTCCTGAGAATGTGGATGCTGCACAGAGGGCACTCTTGATTCGTGCAAAAGCAAACTCCTTGGCTCAGCTCGGAAAATACTCCGCAGAAGGTGAAAGTGAGGAAGCCAAGAAGGGAATGTTTGTCAAGGGCTACACCTACTAAGCACACTTTGCTTTGATGCGACTTTCTTTTTGTGTATTTTTCAGTTTTTGTTGTTTGCTAGATTCGAATGCTGAAGAGAGAACTAATTGCTCTTTCTTCTTTTTTGATCTTACATTAGTACTGTACTTCACTAATAAGCTATGAGGGGTGATTCGTCGAAATACAATCCCAGAAAATGCTCGGTTGTGTAGAAAATCTTGTATAATTATATTGAGAACTTCTTAAAACGGGTAATATTTTCCATGTCTCCATTTGCTCTTCATAGTTTAAATTCCTCTTTGTTAGCCAGAATCTTTTTTCAGAACAAAACTAATTTGCTTTGAGAATTTGCAATGAGTATGATTATTTGTTGCGTTCTTATCTTAGTTCTGGGGGTACGACTTGTGAAAGCATAGTTTTAGTATGAATTTGAGGTGTTATGGGGATACTTCATTTGGTACAGCAACCATGGCTGAACTTTAAATTACAAATATTTAAACCATATTGTGGTTAACCAGTGTGTATTATACCCCCTTTGACATTTCATACAACATTTGTCCAAATAAAAATACAGTCTAATGTAAAGTATTGGGTCCATACAAAAGAAACTGCCTCTACTCCATCAACAAGATTGAACTCTGCAAAAACAAAACCGAACTTAGCTATATATATCTGCTTTGGGAAGCCTTCTTGGCGGGCTTAGCTCGTTTTTAGATTGTTGTTTTTCTTGATTGAGATATGACAGCTGAGAATGATGGACTAATCTGAATGTAATGCCGCCCCCTTCCTATAACCTGATCAACAAAAGAGAGTTGATTAGAAATAAACCAAATACATAAAGTCAATAAGTTTAGTAAGACACAGAAAAAGCTTTGGCAATATTGTAGGAATTGAGATCACACGGGACTCAAGTTTCTGATGATAAGAACTAAGAATAGTTTTTCGATAACCACTTCTTGTGAGGCTAAAAGGATGCTGCCATGTAAGAAACTATGGTCAATGTTGCTCGGACTCTCCAAAAGGATCCAACACTCACTCTTGCATTTTTGGAGAGTGTGAGCATATAGGCTGTAGTAGTTTCCTGGCTTCAATCATATTCTTGACCATCATCTCCTGAAAGGCTTCTTAACTATTAGCTACTGTTAAAAACTGTGAATCGCTGGAACAGAACTACATTCCATGTTTCCAAATACTTAATGGAAGAATAGAAAGAGTAATTGAGTAATGAGTAAGGACCATGGTCTATACACTTTAGAGAAGAGGCTTTAAGAACACTAAATAGGATAACTCCAAAGAATAGGTGGAAAGAAGGTGAATCTAAGTGAAGGCAAATTCAAGAATAGATTGCGTACAGTTTCTATCTCATAATCCTAAAAAAGGCACTCCTTATTACTTAAGCCAAGGTCTCTCGGAAACAACTCTCTACCTCCACAAGATAGGGGTAAGTCTGCGTACACTCAATCCTCCCATACCCCACCTGTGGGATTACACTGAGAATTCCAGTTTTCAGCATAAACAATTTCTACTCTAATAAATTATATATATGACATGTGGGCCATGAGCCAACAAGAAATTAACAGAAGTTCTCTTACCTAACCCAGCTTTGGGAGGAAGTCTGTTAAAAAACTTCCAAGTGAACAAAAGCTTAAGAGAGGCGAAGGAATTTTCTAAGCAACCCTATAAACTTAAAATTTAACAGCTGAGGGAGGAGTGTAGATGTTGGAGTAAATATCTTTAAACTCTTGTTGGAAAGAATGGGATCAGTTAGACTCACAAAATCCAAATAACACGCACAATTATATGATAATCCATAGCAAAATGGCAAAGTGGGAATGGTTAGGATCTCAGGAGCAATGTTTCAAAGGAAAATGGAGGAAATGGATCACTTCAGTTGTAAATGGGATAGAGTTACCGAAGACCTTAATTGTTTTCACATGACCCATTTTCCATTTAAGACACTTATGGAAACCTTCTCTACCAACTAAGATGCAATTTCCAGGTAGAAAGGACTTAAATTTATGATATTTTCCATTTACTGCTAGAAAGAAGAGAGCCATCTCTAGAAAAGAAGAGAGCCATCTCTAGACCAGATACTCAACTTAATTTTTTAAAGATGAGTAAAATTAAAGAGACCTTTTCTTTGTTTATCCTCTCCCCGGTTGAGTTGGTTTACAGGTCAAGAAAAAGAATAATCTTCATATCAACTTTGTGGAAAATGTAGCTCAGAAGAATATGAACCAAGACGGTAAATGAGAGTGGGAAGTAAATAGACTCAATGAAAGCAAATTTATGTTCTTCGGATACTGCAACCAAGATCAGGTCCCTCTTATACATGTTCTATATAGTACTTATATATGGACCCTAGAAAGGGCATCTCAACAAAGAATGAACAAGCATGGGATAGAGGATCCCTTTCAAAGACCACAGTAAGTATAAAAATGAGTTCAACACGTTAATCATTCAAAAGGATAGATGGAGATGAAGTTATGATACATGATAAGCCAGAATGGTACAGAAGAGGAGCTTGTATTGAGAAGGACGCTGTAAGAAGTCCTAGTTAATTCTATCAGAGGGCTTTCCGCTTTGCAAGTATCAATTCCAAAAGAAAAGAGGGATAAATATGGATAATCACCAGTGACTCCCATGCTTTTAATAATTCTTGGGTAAGAATGACACCGTCTTGGATAATCCAGGTCAGACCAAGACATTTTCAAAGCAGAAACAATTGTAAAAATCACGGACTTAAGGCTTAAGCAAATTAGTTAATACTATCCAAATTTTTTAATAAAATCACATAAAAAACAATCATAGGTTTATTCAGCATGCGTCCAGGGAGCACAATAGCAGCAAAATAATAACCAAGTATGTGACGCCGTGATAATAGAGCTTATAATACATATCTAGGAAGCTCTCTGGACTAGGGGATTTGATAATGCACTTACCCAGAGAATGAACAGAGACTTCCTTTCCTCCTTATTGATCTCTGCTATTGGTTTTGAGTATGTTTTGGTTATTATTGGGGCACACTACTATCACCTCCAATTCTGAAGGTGATTTAGGTACTATATTGTAAAGAACAAACCAACTGATATTAACACCCACCCAGCTTCTTTTTGATATTTTGATTAGACATGTGGTTGTTTTCTTTCATCTCTTGTTATATTATTAGTATGTTGTGTCATCACATCGAGCAATGTGCTTAATGCCTTTGCTCTGAGACTCATTTTCTGCCAAGTGCAAGAGCTTCTGTCTACTGATAACACAGAAATTAATAATGCATGTACCAAGTGAATGATCAGTAACAATACTTGCACAACAATCTCAGAGGACAAAACAGAAAGTAGACAATGGATTTGGTAGATATATTGCGTTACAAGGCATTATATACTAAGAATGCATCTCTTTACATTTCACCATTTCAATTCTTCTGCTTAAGAGCTAAACATATCCTTCATTGAGTAGTTAAGGGGAGAATGATACCTAATGCGACGATAATCAAGCTTGAGTTCCCGTCATAGCCTTCATTTGGATATGACTCGAGTCAGCATTGGAAAGAGCCTCATAAGAACCAAATCTCCTGATACCAATAGTTTTAGCAACGGCAGCATAAGTGACACTAACAATGAGCAATACAAACATCACATGAACTACAAAAGCCAAATCAAGTATAGCAATAGCCCTGAGCTTAGAGTCCTCCAAATCGCATTTGGTTGAGCCTTCTACCCCAGTAACAACATCCAACAACTTATGACAACCCTCAGGTATGAACGCATCAACATAAAGCGAAAGTCCCGTCTGTAGAACCCATAATCCCTGGAGACAGATAGAAGCAGCTAACGCAACATCAGCCAGAAAAAGCCTAGGTTGAACAGCAATCACGAGACAAAGTAACGCGGAGAGTGCAGAAATGCGAGCTGAAACGGAATCACATTTAGCCTGGAGATCGGAGGTTTGAACAGAAGCAGAAGAATCGGATACCGAATACTGTAGGTAGAAAAGTGCAGCAGCTAAAGCGAAGAACAGATCGGGAGGAAGCGGGAGAAGAGAAGTTGACTCAGAGATAAGGAGAAAAACAACGAGTATTAGAAACGAGAAAACAACAGCAGCGGCTTGGAGAGAGGTGAAACGATGCACCGGAGTATGACCTTTGAGGAGAGGATCGGCATCCAAAGAGACGAGTGATTGATGGATCAGAGAAATGAGGAGGCAGAGAAGGAGGAGATAAAGAGGTAGACGGCGGAGATGCGGTTGAGATATGAAGGAGAGAGGGTGGTAGGGTTTGGCGACGTAGTCTCCGGCGGATTTGAGGCGGTTCCGGGTGGTGCAGATGAGGTGGTAGAATCCCAGAGATAACAGTGAAGACGATGAAAACATGTGATACATTAGGGTCGCCATTGCAAATTAAATTTTTAGAGGGAGAGGCAAAGTATAAAGACTACTTCCTTTTCTTTTCTTTTCTTTTTTTCTTGGTAAACTATGGATCACGATTCGATACGTGAAAGCAATTAATAAAAAATTTTGAAATCAAAATAGATTCGATACATGAAAGCAGTTAATAGTTATAGTGTGTAGATGTTTGTGATCATTAGTAGGCTGTTATTGAGATTAGCCTAGGTTTAGGCTAGTGATCGTTAGATTGTCGTTTTAGAGTTAGAATTGTTATAACGTCACTCAAACGAATTAAACAGTAAAATTGCAACAATTGGAGATAATCATTCGTCTATCTCCAATTGTTGCGATTGGAATAAATCATGACATGTGAAATCGATCGATAAATTTGAATCCGAATAGACGTCTATGCGGTCCTTCCTCAATTTTGTACAAGTACAAGATTTTTAAACTTAAGTAAATATAATCTTCGTAAATTGTCACTATTTTGCAAGTTTAGATTTAAAAAATATGTTATTCTTGCATTTTAAATTTTGAAGGTAAGGAATATTCAAAGTGCTTTTGCTCAATGCGCCTGGTGACACTACATGTGACAAATTATTTTTAGCCAAGTTGAAAAAAGGTCTATTGAAATGAATACAAAATAATGATAAAGTTTAAAAAAATTTATGTATTAATTTATTTAAATGACACGTTTTATAATGTTTTATAAATTTTTAAATATTTTAAGAATTTGAAATACAAATACCAATCACTATCGCGTCGGAGAATTTTAACTCTTGAAGTTATAGATCAAGACGGTAAAGAACATGGAACATAACTTAAGTACAACCTCATAATTTAAGTACATATTAGTGTGTTATAATATAATAATAACGTACGA